ATCACTCTTAGTGGAGATAGGCTGAAAACATTCCCCTTGAGAACAGGAACAACACAAGGATGCCCTTTATCACCACTCCTATTTAACATTGTGCTGGAAGTTCTAGCTAGAGCAATAAGGTAAGAAAAAGAAATAAGGGGCATTCAAACTGGTAATGAAGAAATTAAACTGCCCCTGTTTGCAGATGATATGATACTATACATAGAAAACCCTAACGACTCCACGAGAAATCTACTGGATCTAATAGAAAGATTCAGCAGAGTAGCAGGATACAATATAAACATACAAAAATCAGTTGGGTTCCTATACACCAATAAGGAGAACAATGAAAAATCAGGAAAACAATACCATTTATAATAGCCCCTAAAAAGATAAAATACTTAGGAATAAATCTAAAAAGGGATGTGAAAGACCTATACAAAGAAAAGTAAAAAACACTACTGTAAGAAACCCAAAGGGATCGACATAAATGGAAAAACATACCATGCTCATGGATAGGTACACTCAACATTGTGCAAGTAACAATTCTACCCAATGCAATTTACAAATACAATGCAATCCCGATCCAAATACCAACAACATTCTTCAAAGAGATGGAAAAACTAATCATTAACTTGTATGGAAAGGGAAGAAGCCCCAGATAAGTAAAGCACTAATGAAGAAGACGAATAAAATAGGAGGACTTGCACTACCGGACCTCAGAATCTAATCTACAGCTACGGTAGTCAGAACAGCCTGGTACGGGCACAATGGCAGGTACATTGACCAATGGAACAGAAATGAGAACCCAGATGTAAATCCATCCACCTACTGTCACCTGATGTTCGACAACAGCCCAAAGTCCATCAAATGGGAAAAGACAGTCTTTTTAACAAATGGTGCTGGCAAAACTGGATGTCCATCTGAAAAAAATGAAACAGGACCCATACTTCACACCATATACAAAAACTAATTCCAAATGGATCAGAGACCTAAATATAAAGCCAAAAGTATAAAGTTCATAGAAGAGAAAATAGTATCAAAGCTAGAGGCCCTAATACACAGCATTAACAGGATGCAGCCCATAACCAACAACACACAAACTCCAGAAGATAAGCTAGACAACTGGGATCTTCCAAAAATTAAACGCTTATGCTCATCAATAGACTTCACCAAAGAGTAAAAAGAGAACCTACAGACTGGGTAAAAATTTTTGGACAGTACAAGTCAGACAAAGTTGTAATCTCTAAAATCTACAAGAAAATCCAACACCTTACAACAAAAAGACAAACAATCCTATTAAAAAATGGGCAAGGGCAATGAACAGACATTTCACCAAACAAGACTTTCAAGCGGCCAACAGACACATGAGGAAATGCTCGCGATCACTAGCCATTAGAGAAATGCAAAGGAAAACCACAATGAGACACCGTCTCACCCCGGCATTACCGGCACAAATCAAAGACACTGGAAAGAACAAATGTTGGAGGGGCTGTGGGGAGATCGGAACGCTTATGCACTGCTGGTGGGAAAGTAATATGATACATCCATTTTTGAAAATGATGTAGTGCTTCCTTAGAAAGCTAGAAATAGACATACCATATGATCCAGCAATCCCACTCCTAGGAATATATCCTAGAGAAATAAGAGCCGTCACATGAATAGCCATATGCACACTCATGTTCTTTGTAGCATTATTCACAATAGCAAAGGGATGGAAACAACCTAGATGCCCATCAACAGATGAATGGATAAACAAACTATGATACGTACACACAATAGAGTATTATGCAACAACAAAGAACAACAATGAATCTGTGAAGCATCGCGTAACATGGATGAAACTGGAGGACATCATGCTGAGTTAAGTAAGTCAATCACAAAAGGACAAATATTGTATGAGAACTTTAATGTAAAAACTCATGAAATAGTTTATACACAAAAAGAAACAATCTCTGTTATGAGGGATGGGACGTGTAGGGGTGACCTAGATAGACAATAGATAAGTGGTAATTTTGGTGAAGGATAAGGCAGTATACAATACTGTGGAAACCAGCACAACTTGTATAAGGAAAGGTCATGGAAGCTCCATAGACACATTCAAACTCCCTGAGGGACTGAATTGCTGGGCGGAGGACTGTGGGGACCATGATCTCAGGGAACATCTAGCTCAGTTGGCATAACACAGTTTATAAAGACAATGTTCTACATTCTACCTTGGTGAGTAGCGTCTGGGGTCTTAAAAGCCTGTGAGCAGCTATCTAAGATACTCCAATGGTCTCACCCCTTCGGGAGTAAGAGAGAATGAAGAAAACAAGATACTTGGAAAACGTTAGTCCAAAGGGCTAATAGACCACAACTACCATGGAGTCCACCAGACTGAGTCCAGTGCAACTAGTGGTGCCTGGCTACCACTGACTGCTCTGACAAGGATCACAACAGATGGTCCTGACAGAGCTGGAGAAAAATGTAGAACAAAATTCTACAAAACTCACATAAAGAGATCAGACTTACTGGCCTGACAGAGACTGGAGAAACCCCGAGGGTATGGCCCCATGACATTCTTTTAGCTCAGTAACGAGCTCATTCCCGAGGCTCACGTTTCAGCCAAAGATTAGACAGCCCCATAAACCAAAAGGAGACTAATGGGCACAACTGTCCAGGGACGAGGACTAGAAGGCAGAAGGGGACAGGAAAGCTGGTGATAGGGATCCCAAGGTTGAGTAAGGATAGTGTTGATGTGCAGTGAGGTTGTTAACCATTGTCATAGGGCAACATGTGTACAAACTGTTTACTGAGAAACTATTTTGTTCTGTAAACCTTCATCTAAAGTGAGAATAGCAGCACAATTGTAAAAGCGTAGTGGATGTCACTGAACTGTGCATGTAGAAATTTTGGAAATGGTGTATCTTTGGCTATGTATATTTTCATCAAAAAAAAAAAAGGTCAAGAAGGGAGAGTGTTGACATGTCGTGGGGTTGTTAACCATTGTCATAAAGCAATATGTGTACTAACGGTTTAATGACAAACTATTTGTAAACCTTCAACTAAAGTACAATAAAAACTAAGAAAGAATGAAAATAAAAATAGGAGTATGAAATTTTATAATTTTAACATGGCCTGAGATTGAGTAGCTTGTGATGAGATGGGAATATTTAACTGTATGGCTGGGCAAGCCCTTTATCCCCCTCAAATGGTATAGAATATGAGAACAATTTATCAAAGCACCTTTAAAGGGAAAATCTGTATGATATATTTAAAAATCTACTTTGGCCTTTCAATAGGAACTCAACATCTCCTAAGTTCTGGAGGTGTGTGATGAGATAAACTGACTTCAAAATAGCCCAAGTGTGAGGATTTCCTGTTGAACCATTAACTAACACATTGATGAACCATCTACTTTTTCCACTCGGCCTCAGTCTGAGCCCTCACAGGACAGTCTGTGAAGAGCACAGATATTGTTTGTTCTTGAACTGGATTAATGTCTTTAGATTTCTCCTGAATCAGCTCGATTGCGATGGGTTTTTTTGGTATTTGGTTTCCTATAATCCAGCTGTAGCACGCCCCTCTAGGACATCGACCAGGCCTCCCCACTAAAGGATGCATGGCTTTGTGACCTACGGAAGGTATGTACCACTGCTCTCCTCACTGTGTTCTAGCCCAGCTCATTCAGTGGGAGATTATAAAGGCTGTGCATGATACACTGAGGGACTGTTAATATACAGTAGAATCAAAGACGAACAATGGAGTCTTTATTTGAATAAGTCAAGGTAAAGAGCAAACATCAAATATGTTTCAAAATTTCCATTCAAATTACTGTCCTTGGAGAATTACTCAAGTGCACACATACATTCACACACACACAGTTGGGTTTATTCACGTCATTTAAAGTGAAATTCCGTAAGTATCATGACAATGAACAATTAATTTGGATTTTTTAATTGGTCTAATTTGTGTTTTAATAATAATATTTTATTTTGAGCCCAATCTTTAGAACTATATTTTTAAAACGAAACTAATTGAACGATGCAAGGTCAGACATAATTCCTCATCCACTTAGATTAAATTCATTCAGTTTTATTTTTGAGTAAGAGCAGGATGAGATAGCTTCCATAAAATTGTAATCTGAACGTAATAATTAACGACAAAAGGTTTTTAAAAATTTAAGAAACATTTTTGAAAATGAACCACTCTGAGAGAAGAGAATCATATCCAATGAGTTATTTTACAATTTCTAACTGAAATAGATCAGAAACAACATGGCCTTTGTGACTAAAATAATAATTAAAAAGGCAAATAGCTGCTGAGTGCTTCTAAGTGCCAGGTTGAGTGTTAAGTGTATTACATCCATTATTTTTATATAGTATCATTTCTATTTTCTTTGGCAAAACTGGGCTAATTTCTAAAGGTCAAACATTGTAGGTTTAAAAACTGAAATTTAATTCGAAATTTCACTTACTCTGGAGCCCCTTGACTAAATTAAATTACATGACCTGAATTATTATAATTAATTCCCCAACTAAAGCGACCCTCATTGACCTTGACAAACACAGGATCTTTCTGGACGTCTAAATCAAGGGTGTTCCTACAGAAATGGTCGACATTCTCATTTACTGTCTTATTATCTCCTCGACTAGCCATTAAATATTGGCAATGTCTTCCGTAAAAGAAGTGTTTTTTTAAAAATATATATATTTTTCTTTGCGGTGCTTCCAGTATTTTTAGTCTGTGCATAAGTTGAGTGTGTTAGGTAACACATTCCAACATGTAAAATTTTACCTTAAATTCTTAGCGATTTCTCAGAACTGTCCACCTATCCACGGACAAGAAAAAGACCTAGGAGAACACTTCATCTCCTTTAAGTAAATACATGTGTATCACTAATCAAAGGAATTTAGAGGAACAAACCAATATATATGCTAACTTTTCAATCCCCTCATTTTTGGATTACTTAGTCTTTAATCATTATCTACTTTTAAATTTTCATAAAAATTGATGCTTTTTTTTTCCAAATACAGAACTTTAAATTTTAACACAGGTAATGTAATGATTTTTATGATATTTCCATGGACTCTGACTTTAAATAAATAATGATATTTTAATGTATGAACTTCTTTATCCTCAAAAATGCATTGCTTTCCATTACTCCGGCAAATAATATTTTGTCAAATGCAGGATATCTAAAAAATAGTACTTACTCCACACTGGACCCTTGTGGAAAGCCTAAAGTAAATCCGGATCAGAACTAGACTCGTCAGCTTCAAAATGACCACTAATCCTCGCCTTACTCCCAACCACCACAGCCCAGTTTGTGTGCACAGACATCTTGTCATTGTCTGCACCACATACTGACTCCTTAAAGCACAGTTACTCTAAAGCACAGTCCGTGACACCACTCAGCTGCAGAGATGAGTAATCAAAGAGTAATCTCCTCCCAAGTCAAACTGGCCGAATACCCAAAGAGGCAGCAAACCAAACCTAGGAGCAAAAATAGCTGCTCCATTTCAGACAGTGAGCAGCAAATAACCTCTGTGGGACTGAAGCTTCATAATGCAGCTCAGGATCTTCAAGGAAATGACAAGAAATCCCACTGCAAAGGTAAAGCATTTACTGGACCTTCAATATAACTGCTCGAGGCTGTGAGATTGGGAGCAGAGATGTGGGGAAACAGGAAAAACTGAGACAGGAAAGGATAGTCAGATTGGGGAACAGGCTCACATATTTTCATTTTTGAGGATCAGAACTCAAATCGGAAATATGATATTCTAATATGGAATCTGAAGTCTAGTTTTCTTCAGGACTTGTTGAAATCTGTAGTTTCTGACCAACAATTCATGGAGCAGTATGTTTACTGAAAATGCAGTGGTGTACAGAAAGATTACAAAGGTGGAAGTGGATTCAGTTCCAGCGTTTATGCATATAATTGTCTGTGCATAGGGTTCCTCTTGTATGTAAAGCTCCCAAACCATTTGCTCCGTCTCCCTTTCTCAGTATTTCCATTGCTCCCTGCAGATTTTCCAGCACCTCCTGCGAGGCTCATTGCTGGGATCCTGGGACTCCTCTGCCTTGTCTTGATGGCCGGTGTAATAACCATGACAATCAAGGTTATTACTCCTTGTAAGTTTTTGAAAGATAATAAGGAAACTTTTTGCTTTAATGATTTGTAAGTGCCTCTAATTATTAAGAATATTAAGGAAGAGAACTTTCAGTATAATGTGTGTATTTGGACTCAACGTTTATTTTTGGACTAAATATGGAAAGATTATTGTAAATTTGTAAAGAATATAAATAACAGTGTAGAATGTATATATATGTGTGTGTATATATATACACTTATATATGTATAAATTCTCAATTTTTTTTTAGAAATCTGCACAAAATTATTGAATAATACAAGTTTATTTTTCAGAATGGTTGTATCAAATACTGTAAGAGATGGTAAAGTTTGGTTCATTAGGCTGTTTTTCCCCAAAAAACACTTGTTGTTACCTGCATGTGTAGGAATTGAATTTCAGTAATTAAATTTTTCCCCAAAGACCTTCATGACTTTATTCATTGTTTTTGTTATTTTTATTCCACTATTCTAATAGTAAACATATCACATTTCAAATAGGAAAATGAAATATTATGATTTACTTATAGCATATTAATCTTTCTAAGAATTACTGTAAATTTTTTTAGATAGTGTAAAACCGGAACAGAACGATTCTTCTCCAATAACAAGAACTGAGAAAGGTATGTGACCATTTATGAAGTTCTGATATTAGTGCAGACTATATTTTGTCCCTATATTAGGGCTTACAAAAAAGATAATAAATTTTAAAAGCTAAAATTGAGCAATATATTTTCTTAAACAAAGAATAGGAGGGCATTCCTTCTTGTGTAACAATAAGATGAAATATTTTTAAGAAATCCATAGACAGTTATATATATACCCACCAAAATCAAATAAAGGCAGTACATGTGCATTTTCAGGTCACGTACAGCATGTAGTCTTTGTTTGTTTGCCTTATATGGGTACATAAATTAGGGGTCAAGATGTTGACTTTCTCTGCATGTATATATATATGGCATTTTGTGTTTTGTTTTACATGTACCAGTTTGTGAAGGTATGCATCTTGGTTATGTACATATTTGTTTGTACCTATGCAAATATGTCAGTTAATATTTATTTGTTAATTCAAATCATTTTGGTAGTAACTCATCATCTTTCTTAGGGGATCACTGTGGTCGTTGTCCAAAGGCCTGGTTTATGTATTCCAACAATTGTTACTACATTAGTACTGAGAGAAAATCATGGAATGAGAGTTGGTTGGAATGTGCCTCTAAGAAATCTAACCTGCTTTACATAGATAATGAAGAAGAAAAGGTAAGACTTTTAAATGTTTCAAACATTTTATTGAAAGTTTATTTCAGTTAATATTATGTTTGTAGGATTCATGCATATTTTAGTATACAGCTGTAGTGTATTTATTGTCAAGGCTGTTTAATACTGCATTTGATTTTACAGTATTTTATTTATATTATTAGGCTATTAATGCACATTTGCTTATTTTAGAACTATTTCTCATGAAAAACATTACTTCTATAAATGGTTTTTTTCTAATATACACTTTATTTCATTTTTTCATACGTCAAAAAAAAACAAAACTAAATACATAATTGTGCAGATTGATCAGAAAGTGACTAAAAACCCTATGACATCAGGTTGATTCCAGCTCATAGTTACCCTAGAGCTGCCCCCTCTGGTTTCCAGGACTGTAAATCTTTATGGAAGCAGATGGTCACAATATTTCTCCCACAGAGTGGGCTAGTGGATTCTATCTGCTGACCTTTGGATTCTAAGCCGAGCACTTAACCACTGTGCCACCAGGGCTCCTAGAGAGTGAATGACCCAAGTATTTAAAAATACCATGTCTCAGAGTAAAGAGCCCTGGTGGTGCAGTGTTTAAGCACTCCTCTGCTATTCAAAAAGTCAACAGTTCAGCGTCACCTGGAAAGAAAGTCCTAGCAATCGCTTCTACATGAGCCACAGCCTCCACCGGCCTGAGCCCAGAAGAACTAGATGGTGCCCGGCTACCACCACCAACCGCTCTGACAGGGATCACAATAGAGGGTTCTGAACAGAGCAGGAGAAAAATGTAGAACAAAATTCAAATTCACAAGAAAAGACCAGATTTACCGGTCTGACAGAGACTGGAGGAACCCCAAAGACTTTGGCGCCAGGACACCCTGTCAAGTCAGAACTGAAGTCACTCCCGAAGTCCTCCTTCAGCCAAAGATTACCCTGTTGCCGTTGAGTCGATTGCAAGTTGTAGTAATCCTATATAACAAACAATAATACACTTAAGGAACGTGTTTCTTAGTTTAATCAAGTATATGAGACCAAATGGGCAACATCTGTCCAAAAGCAAAGACGAGAAAGCAAGAAGGGACAGGAAACCCGGACAAAGAACACGGGGTACCCAATCTTTAAAGGGAAACAGAGAGTGCTGACACATTGTGGGGATTACAACGAATGTCACAAAACAAGGTGTGTATACATTTTGGAATGAAAAACTAATTTGCCCTGTAAACTTTTACTTAAAACACAATAAAATTTTACAAAAGGAAAAGAAGATTACAGCCAGCCAGGAAAACCTGTGGAGCTCAGTTCTAGTCCGTGAAACGCGAGGTCGCCATGAGTCAGAAACGACTCTGTGGCGACAAAGTTGGTGTGTTTTTTTGTTGTTTATTTACAAATAAGTTTAAGAAATAGAGATTTACAGCCCTCTAGCAGCCACTTCCTTATGTCTCCTCTGAGTACTTCTCTCTCCTCCCTAAAGCACTATTCTTTTCTTAATATTATAAAATAGCTTTGCTTGTTTTTCCACTTATTATCTATGAAATCACACAGTATGCATTTTCTCTTTGGTCTGTTTCCTCTTACTGATGTAAGACATTGATGTAATTCATCTATCTTGTTGTAGTTCACTGTAGTTTGCTAATTTTCACTGCTGCATTATGTGAATATAATATTTTGCAATCCATTTTACTGTGCATGGATATTTGGATTATCTCTAACCCTTGCCTGTTGCAAATAATTAATTATTCTCTGTACATCCTTGTGTATGTAATGTGTCCACATATTACCTGTTTGTGTAGGAATTAAATTTCATAGGTATCTGTGCATGTCAAAATGTGTAAAATTGTTTAATAGTTGCCTAGTTTTTTTACATGTATCAGTTTTATTCAGTAGTGTCTGAACATATTCCTTGGTCCTTGCACTCATCAGGACTTAGTACTTTGAGGAATTTTAATATTGGAAGTTTTTATGGGTTTATAGAAGTATCATTGTGATATTAATAATGTATTTTCCAGATTACTGTTAGACTGAACACCTTTCTATGTGCTATTAGCATTAGGATGCCCTCTTGGTGAAGTGCCTGTTGTCTCTTGTCCATTTTTCCTATGGGATTGTCTTTTCCTTCCAATAAGTTGATGACGTATTTTGAATATGAGCTCTTTCTTGATTTTATGGGATTTAAACAGCTTCTTTTTTTTCAGTGACTTACAGTTTTACTTTTAATATTTTGAGACTTTTAATGAACAACCTTTATTAATGATACAATAGTCCAGTTCAGCATTTTTGCAGGTGTAAGTGCTTATTTTGGAACTAATTCAGAAATTACTCAAGTTACATGAAGATATTCTCTTGTATTTATCTGTAGGAAATATCTTGCTTCTTCATTTTTTTTTTTTTTTTACCTTTTACATTTAGATCAACAATTCATTGGAATTTTGTTTTTGTGCTGCTGTATTTTTGATGAAGTGATGTAGAAGTGAAGTTCATACTTGTCTACATCATTACTCAGTTGATGGGGCGTAACATATAGCAAAGACGACCATTTCTCCATTCTTCTCTCTGCCACCTTTGTCATAAATCAGGTTCCTGTGTGTGTCTGTGTCTGTGTCTGAATGTGATGTATTTAGGGACACTGGGACTGTGTTTCATTTTTCTATTTTTCTCTTGCACCAAAACCACATGGTAAAAGTTACTAAAGCTTTTTGTTAAACCTTGATACCCAGTGCAACATACAATTTCATCACAGTCTTCTTCAAGAATGTCCTGTTGCACTGGCCCTTTTAGTGCCTTTACAAACATTTTCACGCAATCATGAGGCAATTTTATTGAAATTATATTTAATCAGTAGATTAACTGTTCACAATTGACATCTTTATACTATTATGTCTTAACATGCCTTGTGTGGTTATTATGTGCTATTGAGTCGATTTGACTCCCAGGGATGCTATAGGGCAGAGTAGAACTGCCCCATAGGGTATCCTTGGCTGCAATCTTTACGGGAGCATATTGCCAGGTCTTCTGTGGAGCCGCTGATGAGTTGCATCACCGGGGCTATTTACCTTCTCCAAACTCTGTTTACGTTCTCCATACAGTTGTATACTTTAGATAGAAGTCTTGTACAATTTGATTCACTTTGGCTCCAGTTATCTTTTATCTTTCCCCTTCTGATGCTGCTAATAGACCACACTACGTTGATGTATGTTTCTATATTGACCTTGTTTTCAGCAATATTGCTTAAGTCATTACTTTAGTCAGGCTTTCACTACAGTGATTTCTAGTGAAACCACTTTCAATTTTTTTTTTATTCTGTTGAATATATTTGTAACAAAACATTTGCCATTTCAACATTCTTCACATGTACAACTCAGTGACATTAATTATATTTATTGTGTTGTTCAACCGTCACCATTATCCATTCCCAAGTTTCCTCATCACCCTAAACAGAAGCTCCGTGTCCCCTAAACGTTGTGTCCCCCCTTTCCATTCTCTTCCTCCCAACTCTGTACACGTATAACCTACAATAAGCTTTGGTCTATATACACTTGTCTCGTCTAGAAATTTCACGTCAGTGTAATCACACAATTTTTGTCCTTTGCTGACTGATTTCATTCAGCGTTATGTTTTCAAAGTTCATCCATATTGTAACATGTTTCAAGACTTAATTTCTCTTTATGGTTGAAAAATATTCCATTGTATGTATATACCACATTTTATTTATCCATTTATCTGTTGATGGACATTCAGGTTGTTTCCAATTTTTAAGCTATTGTGAATAGTGCTCCAATGAACACCAGTGTGCAAGTATCTGTTTTTGTTCCTGCTTTCAATTGTTTTGGGTATATACCTAGCAGGGGAATTGCTGGGTAGGATAGTAATTCTGATTTTAAATTTTTGACTAAGCACAGAAGCTGTTTTCCACCTTGGCTGCACATTTTTACCATCCCACCAGCAGTGGATGAGGTTTCCAATTTTTCCACATCCTCAACAACACCTGCTGTTTTTCGTTTTTGAAATCAGTGCCATCTTAGGGGTGTCAAGTGAGAGCACATTGTGGTTTTGCTTTGCGTTTCTGTAATGCCTAATGACTTTGCATATCTTTTCATGTACTTGTCAACTATTTGTATTTCTTTTTTGATGAAATGTCTAAGTCCTTTGCCAATTTTCTACTGCAAGTTCTGTTCTGTTTTATTTTTTAGCCTGGCTTCCTAAGAGTTTTCCTGTGACCACAGAGCTTTGTTGTTAGCCAATGATTTAAGTAGAGGTCCTATTCCAAGACTTCAGCTCTATAGGACTTCCTCCTTCTGTCACTGATGTGGTGTGTGTGTGTGTGTGTGTCTGTTAGTGTGTGTGTGTTGGGAAGTGCTCATAACTTTGCAGAGAGTTCTCAAGTCTCCATTCGCTTGTACTTTTCACTGGGAACTCCTAGGTCTCCCCTGAAAACGTGATATTTATTCAGTCAGCCAAGAATATATAGACAACTAATGTTATCCTTTTTCTTGGACCCTTATTTTTAGGATCTTTGTGTTAAATTTATGGCTGGTACTCTGCTCACTCCCATGGGGACTACAAACTCAGCCTTTACTCAATCATCTTCAGCCAATTTCAGTACTTCAAACTGGAAAACCTGTGGGTTGTGATCCTCACCTCTCACCTCCAATCACATCTGCTCCCTCTGGCAGTAACACTGCTGACTTCTGAAGCCTGCTCCATGCTGTAAACTCCGCAGTTATTCTCACTGAGCTGGGGTGGGGAAGAGAAGGAGAGCAGCCTGGGCAAGAAGACTGCAGATGCGCACACTTCTTACTTCAATATCTAGTAGCTTTCCAAGAATAAATCCTTTTCAAATTATTATTTGACTTTGATCAGTTTCCAGAGCCCTGAAAGTATTGTTTTTGTCAATCTGACCCCTTTACTCAGTCACACTTATCACTGTCTATAACGTGTCCAGTGTGTACCATTCACTATGTGAGCAATTGAGGGGCTATGTACAGTCCAAGGAATCCTCGTGGCGTAGTGGTTAAGAGATCGGCCCCTAAGCAGAAGGTCAGCAGTGCAAATTCCCTAGACGCTCCTTTGAAGCCCTATGGGGCAGTTCTACCCTGTCCTAGACCGTCTCTATGAGTCAGAATGAACTCCATAGCAATGGATTTGTTTTTTTTTTTTTTTTTCTGCTACTG